AGCAACAGTTAAAAAAGAAAGAAAAAGCCCTGGCCAGTTTGGCTCAGCGGTTAGAGCGTCGGCCTGCGGTCCGGAGAGATCCGGGTTCGGTTCCCGCTAAGGGCATGTACCTCGGTTGCAGTTTGTCCCCGGCCCTGGTTGGTCGTGCGGGTGGCAGCCACTTGATGTGTCCCTTCACGTCGATGTCTCTCTCTCTCTCTCCTTCCTCTCTATCCCTCCCACTCTATCTGTACAAAAAATGGAAAAATATCCTCGGGTGAGGATAAAAAAAAAAAAGATAAAGATAATTTGTGCCCTAGCCAGTTTGCTCAGTGGTTAGATCGTCGGCCTGCGGACCAGAGTCCCCGTGGTTTGGTTCCCGCTAAGGGCACATACCTCAGATGCAGTTTGTCCCTGGTCCTGGCTGGGGTCGTGTGGGTGGCAACCACTCAATGTGTCTCTCTCACACCGATGTTTTTCTCTCCCTCTTCTCTCTCTCCTTCCCGCTCTATCTGAAGATGAATGCAAAAATGTCCTCGAATGAGGGTTAAAAAAAAAAAAGATAATTTGCTCCACAGATTGGTTATTTCCTCAAGAGCACAGAAGAAAGGCTTCATGAAAAAGTTTTGGGCTCACAGATGAAGTATTTAATTTATGAAATGAACAGTTATCTAGAAGGAGGTGGCACAGAACTGCTTAAAGCACATGATTGCTTCCTTAACCCCTGTTTATTTTCTTTTTCTTGAATTCTCTATCTTCATTCCTGTCCTACTTATTCTGCTGTCTCATACCATCTCTTAAGTTCCACTCTCCTTTCTAGAACCCTTCTCTGTTAGGAATGAGCCATGAACCCCCTTGGTTAGAGAAGTCCTGCCCAAACACATCAGAAAATTAACATCTGTCTTAGGCATGAACAACTAGGAATTTATGTTCTGTCATGGAGTGAAATCAAATGTGCCGTTTTTGTCCCTCTCTGACCTTTGAAACACTTTGCAATAACCCAGAGACTAATGGCACTGACACCCCCTTTGCTGGTGTCCACAGTACTAGCCATCGACTGTCCACAATCCAAACACTGCACAGAATGGTTTGCATATTTTCTGCAATTCTTGCAATAACTCCACAAAGTAATGAGTAGCACTTCCATTTTACAGGTAAACGGTTCAGAGAGTTTAAGTAAGGTCATATAGTCAGTAAGTTGCAGAACTAGGATTTGAACCACTCTTGATACCTGCCTGTTCTCCATGTATAGAAGAAAATAGTCCCAAGTCTAACTAGGACCTGAGGTCACCAACCCCTCACATTCCCTGTGAACACATCTTCTATAAACCAGCAGTCTAGGCACTCACTAGGTTCTTTGAGACGGAGTTGGATGGCAGGGCTGTCGCTCTTGTCTCGCTTTATGCCCAGCACTTCCCGCTCCCACTCCCTCTCTCGATTTTCTTCTTCGATCTGCCTTTCTGCTTGGGAGCAAATTCGCAGAAGCCTCAAGCAAAGAATCTGGTGTAGTCGCATAAAGATGTACCAGTTGTTATTAACATAGAAGAGGTTGTACACTTCATCCATCCCTCTTAGCTTCTGCGCTGTTGTATTACTAAACAGTAGTTTGGATTTAGGGGGGCTGCCCCCAACACCATTGTGCTTCTTAGCAGCCCCTGTGGCTTCATCTACATCCATCTCTTCTTCTTCCTCTTCCTCCACATCTGAGAGATCACCCCTCTGAGCAAAGAGCAGATCTGGAATGAAGTGATGCATGATCTGCTTGATTTTGTACTTGTCCTCCTTCTGAATGCCTGCCTGCCTCTTCACATGGTGGATAATCAGGGCAGCGGCGTCCTCCAGGATCTGCTTGTCTTCATAGGCCAAAGAGAGGTGTGGGCCAGCAGGCATGCCAGCATTTTCTTCGGTAACCTGCTCTTGCCTCTACCAGGAGAGAGATACAAGATAATAAGTGCCATACCCACAACAACAAAAAACAGACCAATGAGACAACACCATCAGTACATTCAATTATTAACCGCAGTGGCTATTATTTTCCAAACCCAAACTTCAGAAATAGTAAGATAATGTGGAGGATGTGGTTTGAGAACAAAATATCAGTACCTTCCAGAGTTTGAAGACTGATAGGTGACAATGGGACAGAATTGGAACCATCTTCTAAAATTCTTAATTAGTATTATGAAGGATATGGAGAATACAGTCAGTATGAGGTCTAGGATTCACTTTAAATTAGTTCTGGGGCGGGAGTGCAAAGTGTTAGATGTAATAACACTGGCAAAATAGAAATAATTATTTTAGGTTTACATAAAAGCTCACTTTACTATTCTCTTCCCTTTTGTGAACATTTAACATTTTCACAATAAAAGATTTTTTAAAATTCAAGATCAAACCAATTCCAGGAATTCTCAATCACAATGCATTTATATTTCTATCCATCCCCTAAGACTGTGAGCTCAAAGAAAGCAGGATTACTTTCTTATTCATCTCTGTATCCTAACTCCCACACTACATATAATCCTTATAAGTATGCTGAATAAATGAGAATTAGAAAGAGTTTGGGGCCCTGGCCAGTGTGGCACAGTAGTTAAGAGTGTCGGCCCACATACTAAAGGGTTACGGGTTCAACTTCTGGTCAAGGCACATTCCTGGCTTGCAGGTTTGATCCCCAGCCCAGCTGGGGTACGCACAGGAGGCAACCAATCGATGTGTCTCTCTCACATTGATGTTTATCTTTCCCCCTACCCTTCTACTCTCTCTAAAAATCAATGGGGAAATGTCCTTGGGTAAGGATTAATAAAAAAGAAAGAGTTTGGGGATCAGTGAGAAGAGTTTAAGTGGTGGGAAGCTGAGACAGACTAATGGACTATAAGGTACTGCCTGAAGGAAGTGAACAGGGAGAGGTGGGGTTGTCAACTGAAACCAGTAAGATAGCTTAGGTAGAAAGGTGAGGTTTAGAGTTAAAATGGTAAAATCAGGACTAGAAGTCTACAACAGTTATGAAGCAAGATTCAACAAGTCTTAGAGGGTCTCACTTTCATTAATGGTAATTTCCAGAAATCAAAGCTATGCGGAATACAAAGATTGAAGCCCTCTCACAGGTGTAGAGACCTCCAGCTCACCTCATCATAGATACTCTCAATCTCGTTGAGTAAGCTCTTAGACCTCAGGACCTTGGTGTCATTCTGTTTAAAGTTGATACCCTGGTGGTCCAGAGACTTCAAGTAGTATTTCTCATTTTGCTCTCTCCACACCTTGTTAAAGCCCCTCTGAGCTTCTCGCCATTCTTCCTCTTTCATCTTCAACCTAGTAGGGTGTGGAGGTGGGGTGGAAACAACAAGGTGGGGAGTCAAACTCCCTGGATTGGAATCCTAGCTTCGCTGTACCAGTGAAATAGGGATAACAGCATCTACTCTCATAAGAGTATAGAAGTGAGAAATATGTCACACTTAATTTCAAAAGTCAAGGTATGATAGGCCTGTCAAAATTATTGGGGACTTGGGATAAATGTTATTCAAACCAGCCTTTAACTCTGTTATAGGAGAAAATTATTCATTCAGAACTTTGGAGAAGTGATTCGTCTGAATGTCAGAAATCCTATTTAGAATAGTTATTTCTCAAATAGCATTCCATGGACTGACTATCCTTTAAAAAGGGGTTCTCGTCTTTGGCCAGCTAAAACAAAGTTGAACAAGTTTCTTTGCTATAGAACCTCTACTAATGTTTACTATGCAAGCACAAATGCAAAAGTCCAAGAGCAGAGAGCCTGCACAGTAATCGTCCTTTGGACACAGTTTGGAAAATTCCGATGAGAACAACTGATCCTAACCCTCCAGAAGAGGGGAGGAGAGTAAAATAAAAAACATGGGAACTGAAGAATATTCTACACCTCAAAGCCAAAAGTTAAATGCTACTAGCAAACAGATAAATAACCTGTGGCAGCATCTGAGGGGAAGACAAGGTAAGAACACTAAAATTGGGGCATCTGTGCAACAGACAAGAATTACTTTTACCAGGTGATAGAGACTGAGTGAGGACCCAGATCTTAGCTGGGATTCACAGTGTGGTCCAGAGTGCCATGGACTTGGAGGAACCTGGGCTCAGCCCTGGCTCTGGTCCCCTCCTTGATTCTTGACCTTAGATGAGCACAACAGCCCCTCTACACCTCAGGCTGAAGGCTTATTAGGATAACGAATATGACATTCTTGGCAGAAATGGCAATCTAAGTATTTTTAAGTAATACATATCAATTTTAAAAAGACAAAGGGTGCCCTGGCCAGTTTGGCTCAGCAGTTAGAGCATTGGCCTGCGGTCCAGAGAGACCCGTGTTCGGTTCCCGCTAAGGGCATGTACCTCGGTTGCAGTTTGTCCCTGGCCCTGGTTGGTCGTGTGGGTGGCAGCCACTCGATGTGTCCCTTTCACATCGATGTTTCTCTCTCTCTCTCTCTCTCCCTCTCTCTCCCTCCCACTCTATCTGTACAAAAAATGGAAAAATGTCCTCGGGCGAGAATTAATAATAAAAAAAAAAAGACAAAGGGTGATTCTTCTTGAAAACTAAAGATGTTACAATAGTACTGAATGGCAGGAACACAGGTGGTGGTTTTTCTCTTTGTTATTTCCTATACTTTAAAGTATGGCCTCAGCTCTGGCCAGTTTGGCTCAGCGGTTAGAGCATCAGCCTGCGGTCCGGAGAGACCCGGGTTCGGTTCCCGCTAAGGGCACGTACTTCGGTTGCAGTTTGTCCCCGGCCCTGGTTGGTCGTGCGGGTGGCAGCCACTCGATGTGTCCCTTCAAGTCGACATTTCTCTCTCTCTCCCTTCCTCTCTCTCCCTCTCTCCCTTCCTCTCTCTCCCTCCCAGTCTATCTGTACAAAAAAAATGGAAAAATATATCCTCAGGTGAGGATAAAAAAAATAATAATAATAAAGTATGGCCTCAAACACAGAGCGTTCCGCTATGAACTTTCAAGGTTTGCCCTCTACTTATGGTTACACACAATCCCATCAAGAAGCTTCATTCACCAGCATGCTGAATTCAGCAGCACATATACTAAAATTGTAATAATACAGAGAAGATTAGCAGGGCCCCTGTGTAAGGATGACACACTAATTAATGAAGTATTCCATAGGTGTGTGTATGTATAACCCACTATCCCACACTGTACCTGATTTCCAACAACCAGGATGGGGAGAAATGGAGGTCTCATGGGATAACAGGTCAAAAATGAGCTTTATTTAATGGGACACCAACTCTATCCTGAAGAAAAGGAGAGCACAAAGGGCACATTTGCTCAGATACCTTTTAAGTACAATGGGGACGGCAATGGAGGGGTTCTTCCTCAGGCCATCAATGATGTCAGCTGCTTTGTCAGCATATATCCTCTGGAGTGCTTTTCTATGGATTACTTCTGATGTGCCCCCAAGGGTGTTGTCCAATCGAAATTTGGCTTGTTCCTCAGCAGACAAGCGGGAAAGCTTCTTCTGTATTGCCTCCAGAACTCGGATCGTTGCCAGATTTGTCTCTAAAACTACATCAAGCTAAAGAAATAGACAAAGTGTGCTCAGGACACAAATCAGAATAGACTAGTAATTAGGAGTATAAGGTGAGGAGTCAAACTCCCTGGACTAGAATCCTAGCTCTGCCTTAAAAGCCACAGAAAACTCTGTTTTCTTACCAGTAGAGATAACAATATCTACTCTCATAAGGTTGTTCTCTGGATCAAACAATATAATCCACATAAAGGGTTTTGTGCAATGTCTAGCACATAAGAAACATCAATAAATAATGAATTAGTGGTAATCACTACTAATACCACCATCGGTATGCTTGACTTTGGACTACTAACCTCAGAGTAGAGGAATCTAACAGGAAGCAACCTTATGGTCACTTCCCTGAACTTTCCTGAATTGCTAAGACCTGTCACAAACAATCAAAAAAAAAAACAAGCCCGGATGATGTGGCTCAGTGGTTGAGTGTTGACCTGTGCACCAAGAAGTCGCCAGTTCAATTTCCGGTCAGGGCACATGCCCAGGTTGTGGGCCAAATCCCCAGTGGGGGGCATGTAGGAGGTGGCCAATCGATGTTCTCGCTTATCGATGTTTCTGTCTCTCTCTCCCTCTCCCTTCATCTCTCTCTACAAATCAATAAAGAAAAAGAATTTTTAAAAATATTAAAAACAATCCCCAAAAGACCATTCAAGATGACAGCTCTCAGTCTGTGAGGAAGGTTTTTCAGGGTAACTTGAAACATTTAAATATTTAATGGCCTTGTTCACATCCAGTAGTAATAAGAGCACAGATCCTTAAGGATTTTATTGCTGCTTTGGGGGGGGGGGGCATTTAAATTCTTACTGAATTCCTGGCACTTATTTTTTGGCAAGGGCCTAGTCTGACCTAGTTAAGGATGTGACTGGCAGCCTTTGAGTTAAGTTTTTTCCTTAACACAAGATTCTCTAAATGAGAAACAGAAAATCAAGTAAATGAGCAGTCTCCAGGGCCTATGACCAAATGTTTGTAAAGGTTTCCTAAGTTTCCTAATTTGGGGGTTGTGGTGGTCATTTTGTCAAATATTTCTAGTTCTCCCTCTCTGATTTTAAACCAAAGATGTACTGAACTTCCTGGCTCCCGTGATTAGATAGGACCACACAACTACTTCTGGCAAATGAGTTATGAACAGGTGGGTCAGAGTACTTGTTTATTACTTCCAGGCTAGAGCATTTAAAGGGGAAAGACCCTTCTGAGCAATCTTTTTCCCTCCAGAGACTGGCAATGTTCAAGATGATGGCATTCTGTCAGCCTGGGTCTTCAAGTAATTCTGATGAGCAGAATCTCCCACTACACAGTAATGTACATGTAGCAACATCAAGGAATAAATCTGTCTCTTCAAGCCATCATCAAGCCACCAAGATATGGGGGATTGTCTGTATTGTAAGATCACTCACTTATCCTAACATATAAAGGAGCGTTTTTTTGGAAACCATTGTATTGATAAAGAAATTTTCAGAAAGGAATGCTCCTTCAAACTAGCCCATTCCATCTAAGCCTGTACACACTCCTGTCACCTTCATTCCTATAATCACAAATGGGAAATGAGAATGTTGCCTCTCATTTGCATGCATATCAGTTAAGAACAGGAACATCCTATCAAAAAAAGGTGCCAATCTCTGCCTTTTTTCCTTTTTTTAAAATAATTTCTTTCTTTATTGACTTTAGACAGAAAGGAAAGGAGAGGGAGATAGAAACATCAATGAGAGAGATTATCAACTGGCTGCCTCCTGCATGCCTACAACTGGGGATCAGGCCTACAACTGGGGATCAGACCTACAACCTGGCCATGTGCTTTGACTGGGAATCAAACCAGCGGCCTCTTGGTGCATGGGTCAACACTCAATTACTGAGCCACACCGGCTGGGCCCAATCTCTGCTTTCTAACTCATCTAACCTTATTAAACATAGGTAACAAAAAAATGCTTTCTTTAGGCTGATAAAACTTGCCATGGAAGTTAACAGCATGATTTAGTTTTCTGCAAATAGTTGAAGTTCTTCATAAACCCTGGGGCAGGGATGGCCAATCACTTGTCAGTGGATAAGCAACATGTGACTCTTTATTCAAAATATGCCAGAGACAACTGGAGTGAGTGTGGAGGTAATTGGCAGAGGGATAAATCAGTACGGATTTATAAAGAGCAAGGTATCACCCATCTACAGGGATAAGCAGGGCCAGTTTTACATAATAAATATATTAAATAGCATACATGTAATTTTACCTCTTTAGACATATTTAACATGTCTTTCTTTTGTTTAATTTATTTTAGAGAAAGAAAGGGAGAGGGAAAGAGTGAGGGAGGGAGAGATGGAGGGGGAGAGAGAAATCTGTTGCATCTGGCACACGCCCCAACCTGGAACCCAACTGGCAACCAGGGAATGTGCCGACCAGGAATCAAACCGGCCACATTTTGGTGTACAATACTCAAACCAACTGAACCACACTGGCCAGGGCATATCATACCCTTTTCTTGTTAATAGTATCAGTGAACATGGGGGATTAGAACTCATTTCCAGTACTCACACTTCTAGCATGGGGCTGGCTCTAGCAGCTCATTTATTCACTCCTGCCCTTCCCTTCCCAACTACTTTAAAAATAAAGTCCCTAATTTAACATTTTTTCACAGTCACATCAACATCAGAAATATGAAAGAATGCCCTGGCCAGTTTGGCTCAGCGGTTAGAGGGTTGGCCCACAAACCAGAGAGCCCCAGGTTTGGTTCCTGCTAAGGGCATGTACCTCGGTTGTGGTTTGTCCCCGGCCCTGGTTGGGGTCATGTGGGTGGCAACCAGTCAATGCATCTCTCTCATGTCAATGTTTCTCTCTTCCTCCCTCTCTCTTTCCCGCTCTATTTGAAGATAAATGCAAAAATGTCCTCAGGTGAGGATAAAAAAAAAAGAAATATGAAAGAAGACCTCCAATTCTCACAGGAGGACTGGTCTGCTAACCACCTGCTAACAATACACTTAAAAATATTTTCAGCCTGGCTGGTGTGGCTCAGTGGTTGAGCATCGACCTGTGCAGCAAGAGGTCGCTGGTTCGATTCCCAGTCAGGGCACATGCCCAGGTTGTGGGCCAAATCCCCAGTGGGGGGCATGCAGGAGGCGGCCAGTCGATCTTCTCTCTCATTGATGTTTCTCTCTCTCTCCCCCTCCCTTCTTTTCTCTCTCAAATCAATGAAAAAAAAAAATTTTTTTTAAATATTTTCAAACAGCTTCAAAAAGCCCAGTAGGCCCTACTATAGTACTAAGTCTATATACCATGTAAAACGTAACCTTTAAAATGGCATTAAAAATTCAAATTATTATTTAGCTATCAAAGGATAATTTCAGTTAAAAGCATTACAGTGTCCTATATAAGTCACATTTGCCATAAAAATATTACCAACATATCTGACAAACTCTTAAAAGGATAGTAAATACAAGCATGTACCACAAAAGAACATGAACCTCTGACTCTTCAGTCTTAAAAACCAACCTACACAGATAACTATTAAGATATCTTATTTAGCATCTCCCATTTTCTCAAACTTCAAATGATAAAGAAGCCTATACCTCAAAGCGTTCGTCTTCACAACGATAGATATGTTCTTCATACTGAGTTTTCTTGGAACTAACAAAGGTGGAGTCTTCAGACCAGGAAGGGAAGGAAACCCAGGTATCATTTAAAACCTTTAGGTAAAAGAAGAGAAACTGAAACAAAAGTGTAACAAAGCTTTCTGGTGATTAAGCATTCTCAAAAAGACAAAACTTTTGGATAAGAAAGAATCATTTTACATCCAAGTAAGGAAAAACTTCTGAATATAAGTATAAAACATTTTCTTTTAAAAAAAGACAGGGAGCCCGGCCAACATGGTTCAGTGGATTGAGTGTCCTCATATGGACGGATTGAGAGGTCCTGGTTCCATTCCAGGTCAGGGAACATGCCCGGGGTTGTGGGCTCAATCCCCAGTAGAAGGCGTGCAGGAGGTAGCTGGTTGACAATTCTCTCTCTCTCTCTAAAAAAAAAAAAAAATCAATGAAACAAATTTTTTTCGAAAAAAGACAGAGAAGGGTCTTAATTTCTTCACTGATAGAAATTCTTAGTCCCTGGGACCATCAATCCCTTCTAGAGACAGCTGAGGTTTTGGGGTTGTTCTAGGGAAGGCCTTACCTCTTTACAGAGAGGAGTCCGTCCTGTACACTTGGGCTGCTGGTAACTCTTTGGGAGGGCTCGGTAGCTGGAACCCAACCGTTTACAAGAGGCATAATCTATTTCCATGGCAATGCCCTCGGTGGCTCGTTCCTTTGGAAAGGTTTCCAAATGTACAGACTCCTTATAGCCCAGAAAATTTTTAAACCAATTAAACAATTCAGGGAATTTTCTGAAAAATCAAACCAAAACCTGGTGAGCAATGAGCATGTTGCAGTTATCCTGAGGTATGATTACCACTATTTGGTCAGATTTCTGCTACCAGAGACAAATTCCAAAGGCAATTATTGCTTCTAAGCATTTGGCTTCCCTTTTACTTAGAGGGTGCTCTAAGGTCAATTAAGGTGGTGATAGAAGAATGTACTGAAATCAGACAAAACCAGCTATTCTTCTAATC